TATTCTATTCTATTCTATTCTATTCTATTCTATTCTATTCTATTCTACTCTACTCTACTCTACTCTACTCTACTCTACTCTACTCTACTCTATTCTATTCTTTTATGTATTAAATCTGTTTTCCTGAATTATTGTGCCTCCATACCAACTGGATAACAAACTATTGGTAAAAATCCCAAAGGTGCTTTTTCAAGAGGCCTTTCTGGTTTTTCTTTGACAACGTTTTGTTTCTCATCCAAGAAGCTTCTTCAACTCTGACTGGATGGTGTGGAATGGAAAGGCCATGCAGTAATAATAAAGAATCTTATTTGTTATCATGCCCTTCCCTGTCTGTATACTGGTTGTATTCATTTATTCAATTTCCTGTTTGATGATTATGTAAGATTTTAATTTTATTAGTCTTACATTTTTCATAGTTTTATTTTCTTTGCTTTTCCTTTGTTTTTCAGTAACCTTAATTCCCAAATAGATGCAAAGAAAGCATACACACCCAATAATAATTGCACAGAAGAATGAAATGTTATGAGTCTAAGAAACCATTTCACTATCATTTCCCTACTTTTATCATTAGCTGCTCCTTAGTGTTTAGATCTGGTCTTATGATGATAATGTAGCACTTGGGGAAGAAGATGCAGCCCAGCAACCCAGCACTGGAGGCCAAGATGGAGAAGACTTGCACAGCCACCGTAGACTTTCCTTTTGTGCTCAGGTAGGTGGGCAGGAAGGAGACCCAGACACTACAGAAGACCAGCATGCTGAAGGTGATATGTTTGGCTTCATTGAATGCACCAGGAAGGTTCCTGGCCAGAAAAGCCACTGTGAAGCAAATGGCAGCAAGGAAACCCATGTATCCAAGGACAACATAAAACATAGTGACAGAGCCTTCGTTGCACTGAAGGACGATCTCTCCAGGCTGGGAGTGGAGATCAGAATCAGTGAATGGGGGAGAAACTGCAAGCCAGATGGAGCAGATGGTAATTTGTCCAGCAGAACAAAAAAGGATGACAGAGTTGGCCAAACCCTTTCCCAACCACCCTCTCACTCTGTTTTCTGGTTTTGTGGCCAGGAAGGCCAGCACCACCGTGATTGTTTTGGCCAACAGAGAAGACACAGCTACTGAAAAGATGATGCTGAACACTGTTTGTCGGAGAAGACATGTGGCTTTCCTTGGTTGACCAATGAAGAGAAAGGAGGACAAGAAGCAGAACATGAGGGAGACCAGAAGGATGTAGGAGAGGCTCCGATTGTTGGCTTTGACAATGGGGGTTTCTAAGTATTTAAAGAATATGATTAAAGAAAATCCCGTTGTGAGAACGAAGAGTAGGGCAAAAGAGACCAAGATGATGCCAAGATCTTCTTCATAAGACAGGAAGGTTATAACTTTGGGGCTACATTGAACTCGGTTCTTGGTTGGATATTTATCATCTGGGCACTTGGTGCATTTTTCTGTATCTGAGAAAACAAAAGAAAGCAATATTTCTTTAACAAGAAACACCAAGAAGCACCCACTTTGAATGTCACCTGATACTAAGAGATCAGAAAGTTATAGTAAATGTAAATAAGAAGGGATGTGTGTGTGTGTGTGTGTGTACACACACACATATATCCAAATTGATATACTTTACATGGTGCCACAACCATCCTTTACTTAGGTAGGTTACCAAATTTTCATCCTACACTGGTTGTGTTCTTTAATAGCTTAATGGGAAGGGAGTTCTATAGGAAAGGGCTGTAATAGAATAAGCAGGTTTCTAAGAACCCACAAATATGCCAATGTTTTAAGGAATAGATCTGAAGCATGCCAATTATATCTTTTCTGGTGGGACAAGCAGAAATCCTTAGGGGAGGAAGTCCCACAGGTACCCTGTCTATTCCATGTGGCATAGGTGCACAAGTGAACTTATTTGCACTTGGAAAGAAACTGGGAGCCTGTGAAGCTCACATAACAGAAGTATATTTTGGTTGAACATAGGGGAATTCAACAATGTGCATTGCATTCTTGACCATTTGTATATTCTAGGAGGTCTTCAAGAGCAACCCCTTGTAGAGCACAATGCAATAATTCAAATAGGAAGTGAATAAGACATAAGCAAGACCCTTTTGGTCCAGGAAGGACAGACACAGACTTCAGAGGATAATTAGGACTGCAGAAAAAACAATTACTACCCAACTGCCTTCAATCGAGGACCTGTATACTGCACAAGTAAAAAGGAGGGCTGTGAAAATATTTACAGACCCCTCACATCCTGGACATAAACTGTTTCAACTCCTTCCCTCAAATCAATGCTATAGAGCACTGTACACCAGAACAACTAGACACAAGAACAGTTTTTCCTGAAAGCCATCACTCTGCTAAACAAATAATTCTCTCAACACTGTTCATCTATTACAAAGTCTGCATTACTATTGCTATTAACCTTCTCATTACTCCTTATCACCCATCCCCTCTCACTTGTGATTTTAGGACTATAACTTTGTCGCTTGTATACTGATTTATATTGACTGTTTCCTAGTATGAATGACTGCTTATTGTATCCTATGGCTGTCATTAAGTGTTGTTCGTTATGATTCTTAACAAACGTATCTTTTCTTATGTCTACTGAGAGTATTTACACCAAGACAAATTCCTTGTGTGTCCAATCACACTTGGCCAATAAATCACACTTGGCCAATAAAGTATTCTATTCTATTTTGTTCTACTCAGGAAAGGGCATAATTAATACAGAAAAAAAAATGTATGTCAGGATTCCAGCAATTGCTCTCATTAAATCATGTTTCTAGAGCCAAACTTCAAAAACCATCAAATGATTCATTAGAGGCGACATATTGGCACTGACCTGTATGAAACCAATTCTGGCATACATAATTTACAATCAACTGTGACCCTGTGTCCCCCATCCCCCCGGGTGTCTCATAAATCAGATTTTCCATTGGAGCACGTTCACAGGCTAGGTGTCATCATTCATGTTCTCCAGTTAAATATATTTGTGAGCAAAAACTCTGGTATTTTAATTACAATCTTTTAAAGATAAGAGTTGGAATGTACTTTTGCTTTCAACTGCTATGCCCCTGGTCATTGAGCAGTAGCTGTGAGTCTAGGAGGACCCTAAATTGTGCAGCATCTTCATCCAGGAGAGTGCCACCTTAATCAGAGTAGGAGTGTAAGAGTTGTTGTCCTGAAATTGTTCCTCAAGTTTCAAAGTTTAGAATTTTCACGACAAGCAACACAGAAAGGACAACTCTAAACCGATAAGTAGAGGAGATACTTCCTAGGGCAAAAGTAACTTTCCATAATCCACTATGACCTTCTACCTCATTCTACCTCATCTTTTTCTTTTTTTCTGAATCTTTTTTTTATTCCTCCCATTATCAAAGACATTTTTGAAAATGAGAAACAACAAAATAGCCAAGCTTAAATGCATCTTTTAATATGAACATTGACCTAAAGTCTCTGAATAAATCCAGTACCCTTTCATCCAATGTCACCCACCTTCCTGAGTGGAGATAGTCTCTTCTGGACAAGGAACACAGTCATAGCAACAAATTGGTTCCCCTTCTCGAGTCCACTTGAAAAATCCAGGATGACAATTGTCCACACATTTGGACTGAGGCAGAGACTAAGCAGAAAAAGAAAAATGCCAAAGAAAATGAGTTAAAAGTAACCATATATGAAAAATGGAGGTAGACATACAATTGGCGAAGAAATCTTTGGGCTTCGTTTAGGCAAATATGAAATCTTAAAAGTTCAAGAAAGAGGTAGAGATATGACAAATGTATCTTTTCTTTTATATATACTGAGAGTATTGCACCAAGACAAATTCCTTGTGTGTCCAACCACACTTGACCAATAAAAGAATTCTGTTCTGTTCTATTCTATTCTATTCTATTCTATTCTATTCTATTCTATTCTATTCTATTCTATTCTATTCTAGATAACTTCTGGCAGATTCTTCATTCAGCTCCTCCTTTTTACTTTGGGCATATCATATTGTAAGAAAGGACTTTTCTACTTAATAAATTCTGGAAGGATGGAATTGAATAAAGATTTTAGCATTAAGTTACAACTAATAGGTTCCTCCTATTATTGTATTATCATGCATTCCTCAATTTTTTGTATATGACTTTAAAGCATGATGATTTATTAATGTTAAAATTAAAATATAATTTATTCTAAAATTGTTTATTCTATCAGATTTATTAAAATAGAATAAAACTGTGATGAAAAAAGAAAGCACTAGTATCTGGAAACATTTCTTCTGGACTATGTGAAACATTGCAAAGTCAACCCCTTTCAAAGTAGTCAAAAAAAAAAAGCCTCCCAGTTAAGATACAAAGCAAATATTCCCTAAAGTTTGCGCTGCATAATTTTTTGGGGGAGGGGGGGCGGTATCTTGATTTGTTCAATTTATATGGCTGCCATGCTTCTGAAATAAGACTTAACCTGACTGCCTAGTTTAGTAGTGAAATGAGATGGGGGTTTCATCATGAGAACATGTCCCTCAAAAAAAGTAATGCAGGTACATTTGGCTGAGCTACAACTAGGTGATCCCAACTGCTATTGGAAGACAAATCCATATTTATTATTTGTTAAATATGGACACTCTTTTTTGCCTAGAGAGGTTTACAGAAGCGGGCAATCAAGATGAACAATTGCATTCAATGGGTTTTCAGATTAAATGCATTCTTAAAAGTTAAAGGGCAGATTAAGTAGCATTTCCTTTCAAATTGTTTATTGTTATTTCCAATATCAGGAAGGGCTTGTCCTCATCTGGTCCATTTAATAACATCACAGAGTATAATCCTCCTGAACCATGACAAAATAAATCTGAATTCCATAGATTATTTCCAAATATGACCAAAAGAAGCACCACCAATTCTTCATTTAATTTCATCATTGTACCCTATGACTATTATTCATTGTACCCTATGACTATTATTAAGTGTTGTACCTTATGATTCTTGTCTCTTGATGAATGTATCTTTTCTTTGATTTACACTGAGAGCATTTGCACCAAGACAACTTCCTTGTGTGTCCAATCACACTTGGCCAATAAAGAATTCCATTCCATTCCATTCCATTCCATTCCATTCTATCATATCAGATTCAGTCCAAATCTGAACATTGACACTTCTCCTCCTCCTCCTCCCTCCCTCCTTTCCCCCCTCTTTCTCTTACTAATTTTGGGCAAGGAATCAGCAAAATGGACCACAATCCTCAGCACCTCATGGCCCCTCTCGCCATTTTATGGAGATACTAAAGTACAAACACAAAAGGGCCATGATCTGTGTCCTAAACAATAGTCACCCAGAATCCATCTTGTAGATGTCTGAGTCAGCTTAAAACAATGTTCCATGTTATAGCATATGAACAACACCTTAACAGAATAACAAAATAACAGTTTAAAGGGACTTTAGAGGTCTTTTAGTCCAACCCCCTACTCATCCTGGTCAATAGTACAGTGACAAGGCTTAGCTCACTTGCAATAGGTCCTCAGGCTCAGGCCAAAGAGAAAAAAACACAAATATTTTCCTCACCATATTGAGCAACTTTAGTTGTGAGAGTGCATCTTGGTTAACAGTAAGACTCCCTCTTACAAAACTCCCCAGTTGCTCTTTGATGAGATACTTCTTAGAGAGAACCACCAAACTCATGATGTTCAGATCTGCTGTTACCTCTCCATTGTGGTCCAAGTAGAGTTTCCTCCAGGAAAGATTGCAAAACTCATTCTTCTCCAGAAAGGGATGGAACTAGAATTGAACATTCAAGAATTTTAAGAGCAGAAACCTTGGTTTCTTATCCCAGGTGGTCTTTTCAGGCTGACACAAGCATGTTGCTTGCTGCCATAGAATAGGGGAGAGGGAATAGGGGGGAAACTTACATTGTAGCTTTGCAACTGCTGTTATCTCCAAGGCCAAGGCCATTGGTTCTGGTACGCGGTTGCCTAGCTACAAGGGGGTTGGGCTGTATACTGTGTTTGAAGTTGCTGTTCTCATGCATTTTCCCTCATAACTTGCTTGAAACTTCCTGCTTTCAGTTTTTTCCTAGTAAAAGTACTTTCCTCTAAATCTATGGAGCCAAGGATTTTTCTTTTGTAGGAAATGAACAGAGGCAGTGCTGACAGCTTGGATCTTTTTTCTACATTTCTCTAACATGTTTAGTTGGGAGAACAAGGTGTTTTGAAAAGTGAAAAATGTTTCCAAACAACTGGTTGAAAAGTGAAAAAGAAAGGTTCATTAGAATTTATCATTAATACCTAGACAAAATATATATTGACAAAATATATATTGATAACTTTTGCCAATTATAGGGAACATTTTGATCAGGTCACAAATAAATGGAATAAAAAAACAAACGAGCTTATTTATAAACTCCTTCAGAACAAAAGAGTGATTTCCAGAAAGTATGTATTTGTCAAGAAGAATGTTACCAGGCTAATGTTCTCTCAGATAAA